CTTGTACAGTAGGCCTACATTGAAATAGGTACTAGGGTTTTTACCTGTGAATGCAAGTTTGGTTATTGACTAGGCAAGACTATTTCTTTAATGTTATGATGTAGTCCCAAAACATGGGAGTATGATTCCTATGTGGTTAGGTCCATTTACTGATCTTTCTGTTGAGATATTGTATCCTGTTTAGCTTGAGTTGGGCCTGGTGAAATTTAAGCAGCTCACCTGTTAAAAGATCTATCCATGTCGATGATACCATAAAAAGATTTACTATCAATAATAAGAGGCATGGCATCACAGGTAATCTTGGATATATAAACTATAAGTTTTCTCCAAATAATCTATGATCAGGACCAGGATTTGAATGTTGTCCACATTTTTTGTTCAGTGCCTTACTTTTTGGCTCAACAAAACCCTTGTTGTCGGGGGCTCTCGTGGTCTAGAGGTTAAGGTGTTCGCCTCTCATACAATAGGTCCCGGGGTCGAATCCAGACAGTGGTGGCAAATTTTCTTCTTTCACCTCCTTTCCTGCTCTCCTAACAATGTTCTATCATCTGCTTATCTCCACTTTCTGCCCCCATACCCTCACCTCCTTTGCCCTCTCCTCTGGGCTCCTTACTTTTTCTGCAGCCTTCCTATTGCCACTCCTTGGCTCTTTCTTACTGCTGTCTTTCAGCCACACCCCTGATCTTGTTCTAGCATCTGCGTTTGTCGCGGCCGCGACCCATGAATCGCGGCAGCGATTTTTGACATTTTTCAAAAAAAGACAAAACAACAAAGATACTTCATAACATAGTAGACATGTAGTTTGATAAGTTTTAAGATGTCCATGAGTTTCTATTTTCATGCGGAGAATACAAGTACATTACATTACACACTATTTATATTGCTGTCTGTCTTTTATTTTTCCCTCTTTGTTGTGTTTTAATTTGTTGGTGTTTTTTCTAAAAAATTGTTCTGATCATTTGTTTTTCTTTTCTTGTGTTTTATACAGCTTAATGTAATTTAATTTGATAGTGTTCCTACCCTTTTAAAATTATAAATGTGTTATGTTCGAGCGTGTCTCCACCAAAGCCGAATACTGACACTGGCACGCCCCTTGTGTGTGGTTCCATAATTTACATGTAATATCCTGCAGGCTTACATTTTCTTGAATTACACACGTTTAGGGTTAAAACAGCCAATCTTTGGATAGGATGACACACGCCCTAATTAAATTTGTTAATTTTTGTGGTTATTTATAGGGGCTATTCAAATTTTGATTTCATTCTGTTGTGAAACCTTTATTTTTCACGTTGTTACACTCTGGATGACTACAATGATACTCTGGATGCTTAAAACTGAGCACAAGAAATTCTGGTGCCTTAGATTGTTAGGCTACCTCTATCAACATATTGCTATATACGTCGTCACAGAGAGTTAAAAGCGTAACAATTTATGGCAACTTTCTAGGAAGTCCACTGTGCACGTTGAGCACGTTAAAGATCCCCTGGTGGTCCAAAATCAATGAGAGTAGACTTTGGCCACCACCCTGGCAAACTTCCAAATTTTCTACCAATTGAAAATGTTTAACGTGTCCCATGCGCTCATATGACCTTATGCAGCTGTGAGTGCCGTAAAACCCTTACCAAATCTTTAAAAATACAAAACTTTTAATGTTGTCAAGGAAGCATTTGTTCGTAAATTCAGGATTTTTTTTTTCTCATAGCAATTATCCGTTATGTGATATGTGATTTGCGTACCTGAATTGGGAGTTCAGATTGTGTTGTATTCTTTACTGATTGTGACTGTCTGTCTCTTTTGCAGCATGAGTTTTCACCACAATTGTTTCCACCAAGTGGGTCCACTATCCTGTGTGACGTTCATAAGCTTTGTGATTTTCCAGTCTACTCAAATGGAAATAAACATGGGTATAATGATATTTATAAGACAACAGGTTTTATTAATCAAGGGCCATTTTGCAAACACACGCACGGACGCACACTCGCACACACACACGTGCACACACGCACACACGTACGTACACATACTGATATGCACACACACACACACACACACAC